GCCCCAGCCGCTCCGGCCGGGTCCGAGATGTTTACCTCGGGCCGGGTCAGTCCGCCGGCTCAAGACGATGCGGCTGTTCCTGCTGCCGGTCGTCGCGGTGCTCGCGGCCGCGGCCGGTCCTCCCTCGTGCGGCCCCGGGGAGCAGTGCGTGCCGCTGCCGCGCTGCCCCAGCGTCCTGCAGAGCATGCGGCTCGACCAGCGGTACCGCCCCAGGCACTGCGGCTTCCAGGACAGCACCACCAGGGTCCCGGACGTGTGCTGCCCAGGCGGCGGCGCCCCTCAGGAGGACGCCTGCCCGGCGCCGGCGCCGCCGCTGGCGCCCACTCCCGACATGACGTGCGAGAAGTTCGTCAACAGCCTCACGGATGAGGAGGACTCACGGCCGGGGAACCTGGCGAGGAGGAGTAAGTAGTCTAAAACCTTTAAAACTGGTGGAGACTGCTTCATCCCGGCAAGACTAACGATGCGCTCCGCTTTAAGTGTGCAGGAAGCACCAGGAGGACCTCTGCGCACTTCCCGAAAAAAATGACCGAGCGCCGTGCCCCGCTAACGCCGAGCGGGCCGACATCCTAGAATTCCCTCACATGGTATGTTCCAAGGCTGCTACCCGTACCTAGGCCACCTAGGCGGACTAAAAAGGGGGCATTGAGTCGAGGGGGGGGGGGGCTGTACTTTGACACATTGTGGGATTTTATTGAGGGGCTTCTTTGTGACTTCGTAGTCGCCATACATACAAGCCCATAAGGTTCTCACAACAATAGGCAGTGCAATGTTTTAGAGCGAAAAGAGAACCTAGAAAAATGTACCACTTTAAGAAATCGTGAACACGTTCCTCTGGTCGTTTTTAAGGCGACACTTGAGGTCAGCAAATAACGGTGGGCTGTTTTTACTAACCACCGAGATTTAACAGTGTCTCGAAGTCACTTTCTTTCCCGTACTTTTGGTAGGCCCTGCTGGGCTACGGTGACCGAGAGAACATCCAGTACGCCTGTGGTGGCTCCCTCATCGCCCCCGACTTCATCCTCACGGCCGCACACTGCGCCAGCCTCTCCGGGTGAGTCTGTTTGTCTAGCAAGCCCGGTTCATTCTCAAACGACGAACGTACAGGGTGGTCCACAGACCCCTTCCTTTATTTGCTTATACTGTCACTGTACCGCATGCGGACGTGCGGGCGGGTTGCATACTAACACGGGGCCGTACGGCACCTTGGTAAGAAACGGTAGGCGAGCCCGCCCGCACGCCTGCATGCGGTACAGTATAAGCAAAATAAAGGAAGGGGTCTGTGGACCACCATGTATTTTAAAATGCTAATAAGTGATTGTCGTTTCACAGGCAGCCGATTCGCTGGGCGCTGCTCGGCGCGACCAACCGCACCAGCCAGGAGCCCAAGGCCGCCGACATCCACCAGCTGATAGAGGTCGCACAGGCCATCGTGCACCCCGAGTACTTCGGGCCGGTCAAGTACCACGACATCGCTCTCTTGCGCCTGGCGCAGCCGGC